TCTTCCGGTACTCATATAACATGTATATGAAACATACATAAATTTTGTGTATAGACTTGGATCCCATCTCTAAGATATCTCATTACATATATGCAAGTGCTCCAAAATCTGAAAAACTATCAAATCCAGAAAACTTCTGGTCCTTAAGCATTTCTATTTTTTCTTTCTTATTCTAACATTTCTTTTTTTCCTCCAGTTTTTTATTTGTTCTTTTTAGTTATATATGACAGTAGAGTATATTTTGACATATCTACATACGTGGAATATAGTTTCCCATTTTTTTGATTGTACATGATATGGAGTTCCATAGGTCATGTATTCATACATGAACACAGGAAAATTATGTCTGATTCATTCCCATCCCCCTCCCTTTCCCCATTTCCCCATCCAATCCCCCATTCCTCCCTCCCCCTGCCTATTGTAAGTCAGCATCCACACATTAGAGAGAACATTGGGCCTTTGTTTTCGGGGATTGGTTTATTTCTCTTAGCATGATAGTCTCCAGTTCCAACATTTCTGATAAGGGAAACTCAATCTGCCTAAGGAACTGAGTAATATGCACAGGCAGATCCTTCATATCATTTGCATTCCAATCTTGGTATCTATGTGTTGCTATAATTATTTCATTATAATCATACAGAAACAGAGGTTTAGTGGTCAAACTAAGTCTACCTGGCTCCAAAATTCATGTTCAACATTATATCATACAGTACTTTTACATGGTAGACCCAAAATAAATGTGGTTCTGCTTTATGTTTGTTGAAAATATGACTGGGAATTTGGAATAAAAAAAGTTGACTTTCTTAAAACAGAAGAGACATGATAAGAAAAATATTAATAGCCTGGGGCTAAAACTTTCCAATTATCTCAAAAAACATCCAGAGAGAAAACTACTCCTGTTGAGGGATCCCAGGAGGAAAGAGTAATTTTGGGTCCAAATTGAAGTATAATTTTACTGTGGTTAACTACTAGAGGCACTATATATTTAGACATTCTTGTTAAGAAAGGGAAAATATCCACTTAAAATGAAGAGAAAGTAAGGTATGGTGGAATGTACCCGTAATCTGAGCTACTCAGGAGACTGAAGCAAGAGAACCACAAATTTGAGGCCAGCCTCAGAAACTTAGGTTTTGACTCAAAATAAAAATTAAAAATGGGTTGGGAATGTAGCACAATGATAGAGTGCTTGCCTAGCATGTGCAGGCCCTGGGTTTAATCCCAGTACCACAACAAAAGGAAAAATACTCCCTAAATAACCCCAGTATCAAAGTGGAAAATCAATAGAAACACTTTACATTTTTATCAGAAATTATGGAACACAACGTTGTGTTTACACTGAAATTTTGGCTTTAAATGGCTTTTTTAATATTTATTTTTTAGGTGTAGATGGACACAACACAATGCCTTCATTTTTATGTGGTGCTGAGGATGGAACCCGGGCCCCGCCCATGCTAGGCGAGTGCTCCACCACTGAGCCACAATCCCAGCCCTTTAAATGACTTTTTAAAATAAAAAGTAAATACAACCAAAATGAGTTAAGTATTCAACCTAAAGCATTAGTAGTAGGAAAACCAAAATTAATCAAAATAGTAATTAATACAAATTAATACAAATAAAATTAATTAATACATATAAAATTGTAAATAAAACAATAATTTTGCAGGACATCCCCCATGCATTCTCCTCCTCCCTCCCTTTCAAAAAAAATCAATACTAGAAAAGAAAAGAAGAAACCAGTGAGTATAGAAGACTGGAAAAAATAAAAAACCTGACATAACATAGCAAAGAGAAATAGGAAGAATCTGAAAGACAGAAAAGAAAGGTAAATAGCCTACATATCACAGAACTTCAGTAACAAAACCAGTTGTGAGTTACCTGGGTTTACTTTTTCCCTTCCATACATCACCAAAAGTTACTGGTGGAATTAACAACTCAGAACAACCAACAGGCCCAGATTAAAAAAAAAAAAAAAAAAAAAAAAAAAAAAAGAAACTTTCCTTAATCAAAGTAACAGAAGAAAGGGGATCTCACTAATCAGAAAACCTTTTGAAAAATACCCAGCTTACTCCAGAGAAACACTAATGGAATACACATTCTTTTCAAGCACCTATCAATATTCTCAAAGATAGACTATGCCTGTGGTCAACACCTTCACAAATTTAAATTAAATTTTATAAGAATATAAGAATACCAAACTAAAAATCAATAACAGAAAGATAAGAAAATCTCTAAACACTTGAAAATTAGTTTATTTCTATATAATCCATACATTGAAAAAGTCCTAAGGGAAGTTAAATAAATAAAAATCAAAATACAATATATCAAAATTTATGAAATACAGTTAAAGCAGCACTGAGAAATTTATAGCACTAAGTGTTTACATTAGAAAAGAAGACAGGTCTGAAATTAACCATCCAAGCTCCCATCTCAAAAAACTAGAAAAAGAAGAGCAAAGTAAACTCCAAAGCAAGCAAAAGGAAGTAATAAATATAGAGCAGAAATCAATGAAATTGAAAACAGAAATACAATAGAGAAAAATCAATGAATCCAAAAGCTGGCCCTTTGAAAAGATGGATAAAGTTGGTAATCAACTAGCAAGACTGATAAAAATAAAAAGAGATAAGACAGTTGGGCATGGTGACCCACTCATAATCCCAGCAACTCAGGTGGCTGAGGCAAGGAGGATCACAAGTTTGAAAGCATCCTCAGAAACTTAGAGAAGCCCTAAGCAACTTAGTGAAATCCTGTCTCAAAATGAATAAAAAGGGGCTGAGGATGTGGCTCAGCAGTGGCTCAGCAGTAGAACACTAGCCTAGCACGTGCAAGGCCCTGGGTTTGATTCTCAGCACCACATACAAATAAATAAAATAAAGGTATTGACGACTACAACTAAAAAAAATAAATATTTGAAAAAAAGGACAGTAGAGGAATACCGTAAATAACAATGCACATAAATTCTCCAACTTGAATGAAATAGTCCAATTCCTCATAAAACAAACTACCATAACTCATCCACTGTTGGGTAATCTGAAATGATATTAAATAGATAATCTGAATAGTTATAAAACTACTACAGAAATTGAAACAATCGTATTTTTTATTCCCCTTCTCGGTCTATTCCCTAAAGACCTAAAAAGAGCATGCTACAGGGACACTGCTACATCGATGTTCATAGCAGCACAATTCACAATAGCAAGACTGTGGAACCAACCTAGATG